ATACCAGGGAATCATGGGACTGCACCAGGGAATCATGGGTCTAGACCAGGAAATCATGGGACTGTACCAAAGAATCATGGGTCTATGTCAGGAGATCATGGGTCTGCACCAGGGAGTCATGGGACTGGACCAGGGAGTCATGGGACAACATCAGGAAATCATGGGACTGTACCAAGGAATTATGGGTTTGCGCCAGGAAACCGTGGGACAGCACCAGGGAATCATGAAACTGCACCGGGGAATCATGGGACTGCACCAGGGTATCATGGGACTGTACCAGGGAATCATGGGTCAGCACCAGGGAATCATGGGTCAGCACCAGGAAATCATGGGACTGTACCAAGAAATCATGGGTCTGCGCCAGGAGATCATGGGGGATGCACCAGGGAATCATGGGACTGTACTAGGAAATCATCGAACTGCACCAGGGTATCATGGGACTGCACCAGGAAATCATGGGACTGCACCAGGAAATCATGGGACTGCACCAGGAAATCATGGGTCTGCACCAGGAAATCATGGGTCTGCACAAAGGAATCATGGGTCTATGTCAGGAGATCATGGGTCTGCACCAGGGAGTCTCATGGGACTGGACCAGGGAATTATGGGACTGCACCAGGGTATCATGGGACTGTACCAGGGTATCATGGGACTGTACCAGGGAATCATGGGACTGCACCAGGGAATCATGGGTCTAGACCAGGAAATCATGGGACTGTACCAAAGAATCATGGGTCTATGTCAGGAGATCATGGGTCTGCACCAGGGAGTCATGGGACTGGACCAGGGAGTCATGGGACAACATCAGGAAATCATGGGACTGTACCAAGGAATTATGGGTTTGCGCCAGGAAACCGTGGGACAGCACCAGGGAATCATGAAACTGCACCGGGGAATCATGGGACTGCACCAGGGTATCATGGGACTGCACCAGGGTATCATGGGACTGTACCAGGGAATCATGGGTCAGCACCAGGGAATCATGGGTCAGCACCAGGAAATCATGGGACTGTACCAAGAAATCATGGGTCTGCGCCAGGAGATCATGGGGGATGCACCAGGGAATCATGGGACTGTACTAGGAAATCATCGAACTGCACCAGGGTATCATGGGACTGCACCAGGAAATCATGGGACTGCACCAGGATATCATGGGTCTGCACCAGGGAATCATGGGACTGCATCAGAAAATCATGGGTTTGCACCAGGGAGTCATGGAACTGGACTAGGGAATCATGGGACTGCATCAGGAAATCATGGGTCTGCACCAGGGAATCATGGGACTGGACCAGGGAACCATGGGTCTGCACCAGGGAATCATGGGACTGCATCAGGGAACCATGGGTCTGCACCAGGGAATCATGGGACTGCATCAGGAAATCATGGGTCTGCACCAGGGAATCATGGGACTGCATCAGAAAATCATGGGTTTGCACCAAGGAATCATGGGTCCGCACCAGGGAATCATTGGTCTGCACCAGGAAATCATGGGACTGTACCAAGGAATCATGGGACTGTGCCAGGAGATCATGGGGATGCACCAGGGAGTCATGGGACTGGACCAGGGAGTCATGGGTCTGCGCCAGGAAACCGTGGGACAGCACCAGGGAATCATGGGACTGCACCAGGGAATCATGGGACTGCACCAGGGAATCATGG